CCCCGCTCAGCAGGCGGAGCCGGGCGGGGGCCTCAGAGGACGGCGCTCACGGGGCGCGGGAAGAAGTCTGGCTGAAGAGGGCAGGGAGCAGTTCAGAAAGAAGGGACTGGATCGGGGAGCCCTCCGGGCAAGACTGGCTGCCTGTTCCTTGTCGGGCAGGTAACTGAGCAGGGGGTGTGTGTAGCCTGTTGTTGCGTGCGCTGTGCCGGGGTTCCCGCAACACCCACCCACTCACTTTCCCCTGCCTTTCACCTTATAAGCAGTGGACAACAGAACTCTCAAATTCCTAGCCTCCTTTACTGCCAGCGTTGGCCAATGAAACGTGGGCTGGAATTTATGAGGTTTATCCAAAAATCTTCTTGGATAGAAAGACCTTTGGCTTTTGCGCTTTCCCTTTTTCTGTGTGTGTGCCTGGAATGCGGATATGATGCCTTGGGACATAGCAGCCATTTTGTGACTTGGTGTGAGGTGACAGGCACACAACAAGGACAGCAGGGTAAGAGAAGGAACCTGGTTCCTTGAAGACAATATCGTCTGATCATCATTTGACTCCTCACCACCCCCAACCTCATCACTAGCCATTCCTCTCACCCTGCCGTCTACAGTCAGCACTGGTCAAACATGTGATGCACATCCTATTTCCCTTGTCAGAGTTTCTCAGTCCTCCCTTTCAAAAATTACTGATTGTGTCTGTTAAAGTGTTTCTACTGCATGCTTAAACTTGAGAAGAGGATCAGCACTGTTATGGGGAGGAATGTTCACATAGCAAAAGAGTCAGGGGACCTGAGTTTAGTTCTGGCTTTGCCGTTGACTGCCTCTCTAACCTTGAGCAGGCCAGATCAGTGTCCTCATCTGTAAAATGGGGGTATTCTACTTGATAAGATTTCCCAGCTCTTTTGTTCAATGACTCTGTGAGGCCAATGGTGAAATCTTTCCAGGGGACGAGGAAAAACCATACATGATTGATAGTGCAAACCCCAACAGAAGTTTACAGGAGAGAAAGCAGGGAGGACATGTCCATGTCACAGCAGTGGTGCGGGGACAGTGGGGAGGAGTGTGGTGGGGAGGGGAGGACTCTACCTCTGCTGGATCAGCATCAGAGGCTGTTTTCTATGGGTTCTGAAGAAACCGAAAGGTGGGTCAAGTCCAGTGTCTGTCTGTTACCAGGTATCACTTCAGTGGGTTGAGCCAAGTGGTCTTGATGTACAAAGCTGGTGTCTAGAGTGAGCATTCCTGGAGAATTCAGATGGTGCTGTCTTCAAGTTCTTAAAGGAGTACATTGACCCGTCCATTCTAAATGTTCTAGATGTTACTCTGCAGGGCCATGTGCTACAGTGTAGCCATTAAACACACGTGTCTGTAGTTCAAACCGCAGGTTCCATTATGGGTCGACTTGATGGGAAGGTCATCGTCCTGACAGCTGCTGCTCAGGGGATCGGCCGGGCAGCTGCCTTAGTAAGTTCTTATCTCGTTTGCTCACTAACTGTTGAGGTATTAAGTTATGCAGACAGATCTCATGGTTATTTAATTCTGCTCTACTTTTTTTATTGGCTTTTGTGCTTCTGTTGTCTTAAGTTACAAATATAAAAGTGGCTGCTCCTGATCCCAGGCAGATGAAGGA